TCCGCGACGCCGGGGGCGAGCCGCGCCGGCGGGGGGAACTCCCTCGACGGCGCGGGATCCTCCGTGGATGGGCGGCAAAGAATGGAGCCCCGCCCTTCCACCGCCCGCGATTCCGCTAAAAATCCGTCATCCTCGCAGTAGCCGGTGAAACAGATGTGATAATTTGCTAAAAGAGGGCCTCCGTGAGGGGGGTTCGCGGGGGAGGCGTTGGGAATCGCGATCGTGGGATCCTCCCTGGATAGGGAGGCGTTGCTTCCACCATTTATGGGAGGTGAAACTCCGGACGACATACCACCGGCGCCCTATCGAGGGAAAAACAACAACAAAAAGAATAGCCTTGGCCACTGTTCTTTAAAAGAAAATAAAACTGTGAGATCTGATTTTGAGAAGGCCACACCTACCAGAAATATGAACACCCCTTCCCTCTCCTGCTTCCGCCCTCTCGGCCGTGAATGCGGATGGGGATCGAATCTTTTCACCAATCAAGTACACGTACCTCGAAGAGCAGGGTGCGAAGGTGTGATTTGTGGCCTTTCTATGGTGAAGGGCACGCTTGGTCTTAATGGGGTTGATATTTTGAAATGTGTTGAGATACACCAGACGGTGCGAAAAACGGGCAGGGAGAGAAATTAGTTCTGATTCGTAGATTCATACATGCGACGAATTCTCATCTCTTTTCCTTCACTCGGTTTTTCTTAGTTTACAGCAAAAAGAAGTCCATGCACACATGATTTTATACAATCGTGCGATGATCTAAGAAGATCACTTTTTTTATAAAAAGTCCCTTCCTTCCACAAATCGCTTACATCATGAGGCTCGGGATGTGGGATATATCAGCAACATCAAAAGGGTATATTGATATATGTAAATATATATATATATAAATATTTAGTTATAATATATATATATATATATATATATATATACTTGTCAATAATAATAATAATAATAATAAAAACAACCCATTCAGTGGGTATTTTTATATCTAATAAGTGTGTATGTGTACATATATACATCGAATCGGATTCAATATCATTGAGGAACATAAATATCATCCTGATTTTCATCCTCGTAAGAAGCAGCACCGGGGTTTAGATTCGCATTGCAGCTCAACACGCGTGGTTGCGGCGGGCGTGTTGCCGCTGCCGCCGGGGTTCGGTTTAGACGCTGATTTTCATCCCCCCTATTCTCCTCCATCTCGTAATTTTGCTGCCCATTTTCCCGGAAACCCTCCTCCTCCTCTTCCTCGCTCGACGTTGGGGAGGAATCCGCTCCGACATCTCTGCCGACTTCCACCGATCTTTCCCTCGATCCTTCCCTCGATGCCAGGCCTTGGATGGCTCGGATAAAAGCGGCGTGCGGGTGCGTCTCTCCCTCCCGCATGGCGGACCCTCGGATGATCTTGCGAAAATCCTCCAACCGCTGTTTGTGCTCGCGTTCGTTCTCCATTTTAATCTTCAATCGCTCTTTCACCTCGCCATCCTGCCCGCCGGTGGCCCATGCATTCACGAGGCGTCTTTCCTCCGGAAAAACCGGACGCTCGTCGAGGTACAACAGCTGCTTGCAGCGCGAAAGTACCGTTTTGCGATAATTCGCGAGCGTCGCCACCAGCGGATTCTTCGACAGCCTCAGAGAGGTTAACATCGGAAGGCGTTCTAACACGAGAAGCACCGCCATCCCGTCGTTCAGGCGGTTATCGCTCAAATCCAGATTCGACAGCGCCTTATAGCACAACAACGGCACGATATCCTCGAAGGATTCGAGTTGATTCCCCGCCAAATTCAGAGAACGGAGGGAGCTGCAAGGGTTGCGCTCCGCGCGCGAGGGGTTCTCCGGCAGCTTCCCGTGATCCTCGAGGCCGCAGAGGGGTTTGTGCGGGCAATACCGCGAGAAGACCTCCACGCGAAGGCGGTAGGAATCCAACACCGCCTCACGCATGGACGGCGTCGGCTGTTCCTTCGCGAGGCCGCCAGGCGGCGGGGGGTTCGTCTTTTCGACGTCTTTTTCGTTCGTCTCGCCGCCCTGTTGGGCTTCCATCGCCTCCTGGGCTTCTTTTTGCGCGCTCTTGGAGAAGCTGCGGGCGAGGGCGGCGTCGGAGTGCGCACCCTCGGCCTGTCGTCGTCGCGTCTGCGCCTCCCAAAACGGGCAGCCCGGGCGCACCGCGGAGAAGAAATTATTCGCGAGGTTCACCGCGTCGAGGCGTTCGAACCGGCTAAGGTCGGGCATCTCGCGGAAGAAGTTGTTGTGGAGGTAAAGTTGACGGACGGTGGGGTAGAGCGAGCTGAACCCATCCCGACGATCCACCGGGATCTCCGCCGCACACGGCAGCGTCTTTTCCCCCGCCTGATCGGCAAAAATCCCCGTCGTCGGATCGACGTGGCGATTCCCTTCCCCTCCGTTTCCCTTTCCCTTTCCCCCTCCTTCTTCTTCTTCTTCTTCTTCCGTTGGGGGTTTCTCGCTCGCGCGGAGGAGGAGGGTGGCGTGGCTGGTTTCATTCCCCCCGGAGCTGCCTTCGTCGGCGGATTCCGCGTCCTCGGCGGTTTCGCTGCGCGGGGTTTTCCCGCCGGCGACCCCCGCCCCCGCCCCTGCGGGCGGCCGCACCTGAATCCGCGGGGCCCCACACGGCAGCTCCTTCAGCGCGTTTCCCTCCAACCAAAGCACCCGGATGGCGGTGTAGGGCTCAAAGGCGGTCGTCGCGATGCGATCGAGGCCTTTCCCGTGCAAATAAAGTTTATCGTTGTAGACGGGGTTGCGGTAGAGGCCTTTGTTCTTGCAATCGGCGATAATCGCGTCGGTGGTGAGCACCGTCAGGGGTGGCGCCGACGTCCCACACGCGGGGGGAACGCCTTGCATCGGAAGAGGGGGGGGATTGGTAGGGGTCTCTTGAATAAGCACGCCCGTGGGTTCCATCGTCAAAAGCGGGGGTGGAAACCCTTTTTTTTTTCTGTGTGTGGGACGTAAAATAACCCTCGAAAGCACACGTGGTTGATGCTAATCCCGTTTAAACACCGTGAAAGGGGAAGCCATTAAGAAAGATGAGTGAAAGAAAGTGAACAGGTGTCGGTAAGATGGGTACCCATTTTAGTCGGTTTCAAATTTCACTATGCGCAACACATCCACCACAAAGATCGTCGCCTTTTTCTTCCCCTTGTCGGGCATCGTGCTTAGACGATCCATATTATTGGCAGCAACCGTAAGCACCAAGGTAAGAAAAGACATAAACAATTGGAAATAATAACAAGATTAAGATCAAATCATGAATGATGCACTATATTATATAGTCGCCCCATCTCTCCCAAGGCTTCGGATTCCTAGTCTGTGATAATGGCTTACTTACCGTCCTCTCCCACTTTCCTCTCTCCCCTCCCCTTCATGTGAATTTTCAATTAGATTTTTGCTCCCGCTGGTGCTGATATTCCCTAATAGAGTTCATCAGCTGATCGATCGTCGACGGATTCGCGCCCTTGTAGGGCTGCCCATGGTGGATGAAAAGCTCCGATAACGCCAGCAACGCCTCACGACGTCGCCACACCTCCTCTTCGCTCAGTTGCGGATCGAATAAGATCGCAAAGGCGATTTCGTACGCCGTCCGCTCAAGCTCCTCCACCCCCATATACCACGCCATATCCACCATGGATTCACTATTCTTAAATGTGGAGCCTCGGATCTTGACGAGCTGCCGTAGTTTGGTGTATTTCCTCTGCCAACGATGCGGACCGACCTCGGTGAGGTAATCCTGCACGCGCGAAATGATCAGGCGGGGTAGAGAAACGCCTTTCCCCTCCCCCTTGACGAAACCGACGCCCGAAGGGGCCTCCGACGCATCGAAATACCGCACCACCCGGCGATACTCCATCCCGACGACGTAGAGCACCTCCTTGGAAAGCCCTGTCTGGGTGATCGCGCGGAGTTGAGGATGCATCCCTCCCCCTCCCCCTCTCGGCGGGGATTTCCAAAAGGTGGAATCGCCCGTTCCACCCTCCACGGAAGCCCCACGGTATGTGTCGATGTACTGCGTCAAAAGCTCATCCCGGCAGCGCTCGTACATCCGCTGCCGCAGCACCGCGAGCTCGTCGGCCGTGAAATCCAACTCGTCAATCACGCGATGCGCGAAGCCGCCGAGGAAGACATCCCCGACGAGCCGTTGAAGGACGTCGCCGCCGAAAAAAGCGCGGATGGCCTCGCGTCTTTTCTCCCCGGCGTCGTCGAGGCCGCTGAGGCCGTCGAGGTCGTATTTTTTCCGCTTCTCCGGCGCACTCAACACGCGGTAGGCCTGGGTGAGGTCCTGAAACTGCGTGGTCGCCTCCGGGCGGGGGTTGTGATCGGGGTGAACCTTCAACACGAGGCGGTTGTACGCTGCCTTGATCTCCCGCTCACTCGCGTCGCGGGGGATGCCGAGGAGGGCGTAGTAATCCCCCCCCCGTTCCGTCGTCGTCGGGGCCCCCCCGCCGTCGACGGCGGGCGCGTGGCGGCTGCGTCGTTCGCGGAATCGCCGCCGCGCGCGCGCGTGGAGGCGGCCGGGGTCCGGCGCGTTTCGAAGCCCCGCGTGG